GAGACGTCCCGATGCATACTGCCAACAACCCGTTGGTTATATTTGCGTGGGGATGCTTCAGAGCTGCAGCGCAGGGTCAGGGTCTCCATGGCACAGGGCTTTCCAGCAAGGCTCTGGTCCCTCTTCAACACCCTCATCGACTTCCTTTGGAGCAGACCAAGCTCAAGCCTAGCCCTGGTCCTACAGCAACCGAGTTGCAAGCCAAGGACTATTCCCCTACGAATCGCCGGCCAAGGTGATCCCGGCTCCCAAAGTGATGACAACTGGGCATCCTGACAGCTGAGCAACCAAGATCCCCAAATCCCAACACTCCCCACATTTCCAGCATTATCCCTCAACTCCCCACTCTGATTTTGATCCTGAGCCATTTTCAGTACATGCTCTTCTACCTGCAGTCAAGCCTCAGCTCCACCTCAGCTGCAAACAGCTTTTGCAGAACAGTTTATTTTCTCTGATTATTTAACCAGAAGCTTCCTGGCTTCGCTCTCACCACCCACTGCAATAATGTGCAATTACCAGACTTGAAGAAAAATAACAGGGAAGTGGCATCTCATGCCAGGCCAGTGCTGCCAAGATCTGTTCTTCAGTCTTTCAACTCCAAAAAAAAAAAAAAAAAGTCACCAGATTCTCTTCTTGCCTCTTGGCACATCACGGCAGGCAGCTTCTTCTATAGACAGGAGGTTGAACCCCAAATTGTAACGTTTTACAGAGTCTTGCCTTTCACCTTCTGCTACTCAATAGGTGAAAGTCAAAGGCAACACTATCAGCAATTTCTGCAAGATGACTTCAGGCCCATCTTCATGTTTGGCATAGACTGATGCCAAATTTGGCATTTCCAAGACATTCAAGAGACAGGGTTCTATTTTCCATTATTATTACAAGCCCAATTACTTGCCCTTGCAAAGAGCTGAAGAAATGAAATGGGTATTTGCTCAAATAAAGGGATTGTTTAGAAGAAAGTGTTTCCAGTGCGTAGGCTGTTCTTGATCTTCTAAAAGAAAGTAGTCATACAAGGTTAAAACCACAGAGCACTATCAGCCCGGTACCCACGTCGTGCAGGCACCACGCTGATAATTTCTTTGGAAATCTTTGGCAAACTGCTTTTCCCCTTTGGATTCCCATCTGCAGGGCTAGGAAGTAAGAGCCAGCTGAAGCAGCAAGAGGTCCAGCTTCTCCAACCACAGCTGCACCGTTGATGCTGCTCCACCTTCAAGATCCTGCACCAACGAGACCTGGGGGCTTTGGGGAGAGCCCCTGCCCTGGGGATGGACACAGGGACAGACATGGAGGTAGGCTGGCTGCTAACTCAGGCCATTAGTCATTGCGAGCTCTTCCCAGACCTCTGAACCATTTAATCCAGTGAGAATCATCGGCATTTGCCGTCTTGGCTGGAACACGTCCATGTTAAGGACACGGGTCTTGTTTTAACACCAGCCTCCCAAGCTACTGCTATTTTTAGGTTTGGGCTGTTATTTAAGGCATGTATTATGACCAGAGAGAGCACGGGGCATAGACACCAGCTCACGGGATGATGAGGACAAGCAAAATGCCCCAGGATAACAACCACTGCTCAGGATCGCACACATATCTCAACTATTTAAGCAATTCAGTATATCAAGCACCATCAGGAACCGGGCAAGAGCCTGAGCCACTGCTTCCACCCTAAAATCCTCCTTTTTTGGGAAGAAGCCGAATCACAGCGAGATGTCTTTGCTCCAGCACTGAGCAGTGCTGGTGCCACCCTGACCACGCTTCACCCGGAACCAACGGGCTTAAAGAAATCGGTAATAAAAGTTGATAATAAAATCCTCCAAACAGGCAAAGCCTCGGATGCCAGCTGTGCTCCCGCTTGGCACCACGGGAGGTGCACGGGGTGCCGGCGCAAGGGCAGCCACCCAAGCACAGCTCCTCCGAGCAGAGGCTGCAGCTCCCACGTCAGACCCGGTCTTCCCTTTCAAAGGTTAAAGCTGTTTACTGAAAGGATTAGGAGGGAGGAGACGCTAAACCAGGAGAAAGCGAGGGGAGACTGCGCAACAGCTACGTACACAGGCTTCGCCCCGGCAATAAACGCGCCCCAACTCCCTGTTGGCGTGGCCAGCCAACGTATAGATGGGGAGGTCATGTGGACGTCGGCACACTGCCAGCACCAGACCCCAGGGCTTCACCCCCAGCCCCAGAAGATGATTTAAACCTAACTGCTTGCCCTCCACACCCCTAGTGCAACCGCAAACCAGGCTGGCACCTGAAGACCTGGGGAGCAGCTGTGGTCCTCTATCTATGGAGGCTTTGCTCTGGCTGCCTACCATGGAGGGATCTGCGCTAGCAGCACGGGAGAGGAAAGATTTCCTCTCTGCAACAGCCTGAAGTTTGTTCCTGGCTATATTCACCCTTGTCTGAAACGCTGCTTCAGGATGAAGCATGATTTGGGTACAAACACTGCTGGAGCAGCAGAACGCTTAGCCATGACGTTGCAGCTCTGCAGTACATCTTAGCTGTACAGCCAGTTATTAAATAAAAGGTCAGTTCCTCTATGGCACTACATCTTCTCTCGTTTCAAGTAAACAGTCTTAAGAGCCAGACGTTTCAATAGGAAAACCAAAGAGGGATTTATACACCACTGCGGAGGAGAACAATTTCCATATCTGACACGACAGAGCACCAAGTAAGAACTAATGAGCAAGGCCTTTCCAGCTATCGCAACATGACTGAGGCAACACCAGAGCTGCACTAAAAGCAAGACAAAGCATTAATTGCTTTGCGCTCGTCTGTCTGCCTTCATTGCACAAAGTTCAACTGAGGACATTCAGTGGCAGGAGGAAGCCATGAAGCCACCCATGCCAACACGGAACCAGCATGACTATTGCAAAAATGACTGGGAGGGATGTGCAAAACCGCCCAGCCAGGAGCCCAGAGTAACGGGGCAATTCACTTCCAGACCCGAGCAGCTTGATCAGATACTGGGCCAGTTTATCAGCTAAGTGTAGTTTTTGCTGTTACATCCAGCTTATTTCCCAAGACAAGGGGAAAACTTAGCAAATACCTTGTGAATTTGATGCACTAGCTGAATTCAGCCATTAAAGGATGACAGAGAAGACCGGAACAACTCATCTTGGGAAGCACAGGATGACCCACGAATGATGCTGTCCCCCAAAAGATGACCAGATTTGGGAGGTGGGGTTATACCTAAATGGGCTAACATAGCCTCGTTGCTCATCACGTATCACCTTCTCTTACCTGCACGGTTTCTTTAACCTGAATCATGCTTGGTGACCAAACGCACAGCACTGCCACACAGGCAGCTCTAACATGGCCTCCAGGAGAAGAGCCAGCTGCAGCACGGGCATTTCGGCACAGGGTCTGAAACGCCAGGTTAGAAACCAGAGCTGCACCCGCTCTGAGCAACTCGGTCTGGTCCCTGCACTTGATCACTCCCCACCGTGTTCAAATTCAGCCCCTGCTCTGAGATAACAACACTCGCTGCTCCAGAAAACAGGAAAGTGAGAAATCCAACCAACTGGTCATTAAAGCCATGGGGAAAAAAGTTACTACACGTTAGTAACAACCAGGCACTTTTGGCCAATGAACCATGGCCAAAGCCATGTAGTATTTCTGGTAGCGCCCACAAATAAGGATGTTTAATAAGGTTCTGCAACCCCTTTGCAGATCACTCACCATCACCCCAAGGACCACACTTTGAGTACCACAGATTTTAGGGACAACGGAGTGCAGGGGTTACTGGAAAAAGTTACCGCAAAGGGAAAAAGCTCAAGAAACCGGAATTCGAAAGAGTTAAAAGGAAACTGGTAAGTAGCACAAACACAAGAGAAGTCACAAAACTAATTCCAGCAAGACCTTACTGGTTCTATAAATGCATTAACAAAGGC